TGGAACGTGAGGTTGACAGGTGGATCGGGGCGTCTTCTGCAGTAATGCGGTCAATGTACCGGTCCGTTGTGGTGAAGAAGATTTACTGGTCAATCTACGTGCCGACTCTCACCTATGGTCATGAACTTTGGGTCATGACCGAAAGGGCAAGATCCCGGATACATGCGGCCGAAATGAGCTTTCTCCGCAGGGCGGCCGGGCGTACACTTAGAGATAGGGTGAGGAGCTTTGTCACCCGGGAGGAGCTTAGAGTAGAACTGCTGCTCCTCCACATCGAGAGGAGCCAGCTGAGGTGGCTCGGGCATCTGTTTCGGATGCCTCCTGGGCACCTTCCTAGGGAGGTGTTCCGGGCATGTCCCAATGGGAGGAGGCCCCGGGGAAGACCCAGGACACGCTGGAGGGATTATGTCTCTCAGCCGGCCACGGGAACGCCTCGGCATTTGCCCGGAAGAGCTGGAGGAAGTGTCTGGAGAGAGGGAAGTCTGGGTATCTTTGCTTAGACTGCTGCCCCCGCAACCTGGTCCCGGATAAGCGGAGGAAAATGGATGGATGGATGGATATCTAGATCCAAAACAATGATGTCTACAGGGTTATGGACATTACACAAATTCTCTCCCCTTTAGATTCTAATGGTAACATGAAGAGACACTTTTTTAGTTGTTTAATTTTGGACCTAGTATTTATTGGAATGCCTTTTTATATTTAATGTGTAGAAAATGGGTGGTGGGCCCTGATCTGATCTGGTTTTATTTTTTATTGCACTGCTGGATGCTCATTGATTATGATGTATGATTGTCTTGTCAGGTGCAATTCTAGTTACCATGATGGGAATTATCTGTGTTTACTCTTTAAAAGGCATCTACACTAGATGCAAGACTGCTGAAGGAACGGATGTCAAAATGATTTGTCTTTTGTAAATAATGAGTGTGTGTGATCCTCCTCTGTGATTGTTAGATAATACAGTTAGGATAATGCACCGATTTTTAAATGTGAGTTTATCTTGGCACTAGAGTAAAGGTAGAGGGGATCACAAAGTCGGTGTAAGTGATCCAACATCTGAGGATAGTCTACATAAGCTTTCATGGAAGTCCAGCAACGTAATGTTAACATTTTGTGTGTGTGCGTGAGCTTGGAGCTTTGTAGAAGGAATGCAGATTTCTCCTGTAAATTTGATGGAGATTTGAGGGAAAACTAATTCTATAAAACAGACCAAAATGAACTGACTGACCAAAGTGACTAGCCAAATTGCATTCTCAAGTCTTGTTATTAGGGCAAATGATACAGTACATGTTGTAGTGGAAGTCACCCAACTTTTATGTTGGAATGCCACATAACAGCCTCCTCCAAAGCTTATAGAGTCTGTGTGTGACATATTATAATATTGACATATTATCTTGCAGCTTAGTTTGTGTGTAGCTCTTTAATATTTTCAGAGAAAACAAGTGAGGGTGCAAACACAAAGTAAGCTGTTCTTTATCAGATGAACAATTTGTAGAGGAACAGTACAGTTAGCTATAAAAACTTTGACATTTAATGTTAAAAACAAAGTATCATATATAATTGTAAAGCACAACAGTAAAATTTTGTTGTATTGTTGTTGCAAAATGTACATTTAAAATATGTGGGTGACAGTTTTTGTGACATCAAAATACTAAAACCAAGAGATTTAAGGTATAACCAGTCATATTTTAAATTCTGCACAAAGAGGCTTTAAGTCAAATGAAAAATATTTTACAAAGTTGGGGGAAAGTGGGAAACTGAGCTTGAATAATAAATGTTTCAAAGCTGCACTATGGCACGTTTTTGCACATTTGTGACCACTGATGCTTTTCAGTATTGTGTCTTTACAGGGGACCACTGTGAAGTAAACATAGATGAGTGCGTCTCTTCTCCCTGCCTGCACAATGCCACGTGTGTTGACCTTGTTCACGGCTATGAATGTGTCTGTGTGCCTGGCTTTGCAGGTTAGTGAGGGATATTCCTTATGCTTTCACCTGAATTGAATGTACAGTGTATATACATCATGTAGCTTACGATTTATATGCACACACGTGGCTGGCATCCTACACATATTGGCATATGTGCATATGCTTACCTGGGGTATTTCTGTGTTTTATTCCAAAACAAAAACACCACAGGCATGGTAATAAAAACAACACTTCTCAGAGGTGTAACAAATACAAAATTTCACAGTATAAGATTATTGCATTGCTCTTGTACTGGACTACATTAAACAAAGCAAGGTTTCAAGTACATTTTTATTTGTGTAGCCCAATATCACAAATTTACCTCAAGGTGCTTTACAGTGGGTATATAGCACCCTCTGTTCTTAGATCCTTGAATTCGATAAGGAAAAGCTTCCTCCAAAAAAACTTGAACTGGAAAAAAAAATGGAAAAAACCTCAGGAGGAGCAACACAGGAGGGATCTCTCTTCCATGACAGACCTGTAATAGATGTAGTGTGTACAGAATAAACCAGGATTTACAATAAGTACAATCAGAATGACAAAAATTAGATAACATATACAATATAAACATTTATTAGGTACATGATCCTGTAGGATGAGCCAACTTCCAGGTGCCTCCAATAGATTCAAGCCACATGACCTCACTCCAGTGACCTTTTAGAGAGACAGACTATGCAAAACCCAAACACATCTTTCACACATAAAGCAGAGGGAAACAAACTTACTTTAGATAAAGACTATGGGAATGAATGAAATGAAAGGGAGAGAAATAAATAAGAGGCCAGGACTCCTGAAGGATGAGGATTTAGATGTAGACATCTGAACAGGTCACAGGACGGTCGATGGTCCAGCACAAAGAACCTGAGTGACAGAGAGAACAGGGACGAGAAGAGACCTTTGTTCATAAAGTATGTATTACCGTCACAACAAGTCCGTTTTGATGTGACATCAGCAGCTATGAGCAGCTCCTCATAATAAATATATGGTAGAGACTTGCACACATAATTATTTCACTACATTTGGTGCTGTGATGCCAACTGCTAAAAATACAAAGATGAATCACGACTCTAGATTTAAACAAAGATAATGTGTTTCCACTTGTAAAACACAGTAATGGCTTCTGAGTGCTTTCAGAATAACTGCTAATAATTCCCACAGAGCAGGATTCATGGTGCCCTGCGACCAATAAAACTGAACCTTATGATTACAAAGGAGCTGATTTCTCTCCTTTTTTGGAAAATTTGAATATGTTGAAGAAAACTTTTTTTTTTTGCATGTTTAGAAATGATATCTGAAATGGAGTTCCTGCTGTGAATCCACAGGGAATCCTCTCAGGTATTACAGCTCTATTCAGCACTCTAGTGCACCATCATCTTCATATTAAGATCTGCATCTTCCAAAACAAGTCATATGCAGAAAAACACTAACTCAATGATTTCAGGTTTGTGTTATTTATCGAATGCATTCAGCTCCTGTTTATACTCAGACAAAACACTGTGGTTGTTCTAAAGAGATGCTAACAAGTCAATGGTATGGACAAGAGTGCAAGCTGACCTCTATAACAGAGAAAGGGTCAGCTTCTCTTTTGATTTAACTTCCAGCACACCTAGTGAGGCGTTTTGTGATTTAGATATTGACTGTTTGTTTTTTGTTTTTTTTTTTAACAACCAAACCTTTATTTTAGTGACTCTTCAAAATACCATTTATCAATCTGTGTTCTCTTCTGTCAAAGGTACTAAGTGTGAACTTGACATTGATGAGTGTGCTTCATCTCCTTGCAAGAATGGAGCCCCTTGCATTGACCAGCCTGGTAATTACTTCTGCCAATGTGTGGCTCCATTTAAAGGTAATGAGCACTGAGGGAATGGGGACAAAAAGCAAAGTTAATTAACTTCACATACTATTATTTCACCTGTCGAAACTCACTTCACATGCCGCAACAAAATCAGTATGTCTTCATTTGCTACCTGTAGTTAAATAGAGAATACTTGAGAAATTGGTGAGATGTAAGCTGATAGGTGCCTCTGCCTTGCAAGTGACAACTTCCATAATTTAATCAGAGAATAGAGCCAATGTTACTGCATGGTATTATCAGTGCATAGAAAATAAAATGCTGATGGTTAGGTAATAGAAGATTTTACAAACACTGAAAGAGATTTTAACTTATTTATTTTCCAATTTTAGAGGGAAGGAAACGGTGAAGAGCTAGGACAAGATTGTTTGGAGTAAAATCCTGGGTCTAGTTTTCATAATGCCATTTTATAACGACATCACTGATTCATTAAAGTTGTGTTATTTTAATTTTTTAATTCTCATCCTGCCACATATCTATTTACTTAATTTACTATGTTTATACATCCATCCATCCATTATCTATACAGCTTATTCCTGAATACGGTCACAGTGGGCCTAGAGCCAATCCCAGCTGACATTGGGCGAGAGGCGAGGTCCACCCTGGACAGGTCACCAGTCTATCACAGGGCTGACACATAGACAAACGTCCACACACACCCATACTCACTCCTACTGGCAATTTAGACTCACCAGTCAACCCAAGCTGAATGTCTTTGGACCGTGGGAGGAAGCCGGAGCACCTGGAGAGGATCCATATATACCATAATAATAATATACTTTAGGGCACAGTATTTAATAATGTGTCAATCATATTCTGCTGTAATAAATCTACACAGTATTTATATATCGAATGAATATTTGAAGAACATTTGATTTTCAGTATTTATTAGGATATGAATTTGTTTTAAATAAAAATGTATATAATTTGGATTTAATGTGTTTTTATTGTTCAGCCACATAGTGGTGAACCTACATTTATTAATAATAATTATACATTTTATTATGTGCGTGTTTTACACAAAGAAAGCAAGAAAAATCTAAATCTCTCCTCACATGTTGCTGGTATTACTGCACCTGCATAATAATGAATGATATAAAAACTTAGATAATGACATTAAATGGCCACATTTTTCACACTGTCGCGTTGCTGACACAGCTTGTTTATGCCCCATTTTGGTGCTGTAAGTATAGCTATTTACTGAATTGGATTTACAAAATCAATCAATCAATGGAGTTAATTGTTTGCCAGTATAGAGACTCTTTCATGAAATGCAGTTTCTACCAGAAACTGTTAGCAGACACAATTCTAGTAGCGCAAAAGGTTACATCATTAATAAATGTGAAATGCATTCCTTTAGCCAGCCTCTTCCCACATGCAGGCATCCTAACAAACCAAAGGACGAGTCAAGAAGGACCTTGGTCAAAACCCACAGACTGCTCTGACAGATCTAATGAGCTCGTAGGCTGCGAGATCTTAATGGAAGGTCCACAGTCAGGGCAGCACTTAACAAAGCCACTGGTAGGCTTTACAGCAGTGTGGCTGGGAGGAAATGACTCCTGAAAAAGGCACCTGTAATTTATGGTACCTCAAAAACACACTGACATCATGTGGAGAAAGGCTCAGAGCTTTGATGAAAATGAAAATGGAAGTCTTTGGGTGTAATTCACAGGACTTCAGGAAGTACAGCAAAATAAAGGCAGCTGAAACCCATGAAACATGTTTCTACTGTAAGATGTACAGTAGCAGTGGATGCATTATGATGTGGATTTTCATTACCAAGGATAGTTGGAATTGTAAATAAATCTGTATACTAGTAAACTCTCAGAGTGTGACCCAGAGTGCAAATGATCTAAGAGTCTCTAACAATTTGTTTTTTTTTATGTGTGAAGTTGCAAACTAGCTTAAAACCATCTGAAACTAAGAATGGGTTTGAGTCCTAATCAGCACAAATCATTTGTTATATTTAAACTGCTGTGTCAAAGCTACAAAAGCAAAAGCCTCGGTTTGTTCCATGTTGTTGTTAGACCAAATCAGCACGTCATTTATCTTGTTAAATATCACACATTCCAGAAGCAAAGTGTGTCTGAAGCAAAACAGAATTATTTGTTCTCTTTGATTTAATATTCAAGCTTGCTACCAAGTCTGTATGTTTGCAACAAATAGGCACTTAGTGTCTGCAAATCATAGGTAGCCAGTGTGATAGTACTAAATAATACTAAAGTAAGGGAACTGGCACTGGAAACTACTGGGACTCAAAAACCCTGAAAGCAGCAAACAGTTATAGAGTGGGTTGTTGATTCTTGATGAGATCAGCAGATCTGGGAACTTTGTCGCACTACAGAGAATCATTTTATCCAGGGTTTATAGCAAAATGTTGCTACATGGAGTTTTAATGTCACTGCTTTCGTACACAAGTTAAGTATTTTGAACCCATTGTGTAATTTGACAATGATAGTGTTGCCAATTATTTCCCAGAGAAAGTAGAAATTTGCCTGGTTATGAAGCAGCTCCACTCAGAATCTGTCAATAAATGACCATACAGTACTGCTGTTTACTCTCCACTGTATGACTTCCAAACAAAACTGAGAATGAAGACTATTCATTTGGAAACCTTTTTTTTTTTTGGAATTTATATTTAAATACTGATATAACATCAGTTGTTTGATATCTAATGTTTCATTGCTGAACTGGATATGGATGAAATAAAACTGCAGTTATGATGAAACAATTCTAAAATAGCATTTGAGTTTTATTTTGATGCATTTGATTGACTGTATATTTGCAAAAGGAGAGAGGAGTATTTTGTAAGAAATCATTTTATTCAAATTAAGTAACTGCTACTCGTACACTTCATGTCTGCCATTCTCTTAGGCTGTTTGTCTACCACAGGGACAGGTTGGAGGAAGCGTACAATATGAGTTTAATTTTTAATATCCCCTGGTTTGCAGTTCTATATATCTACACATTCTTGTCTGCTGGATGGTCCTCCTACATGTGTTTCTTTGCCTTACTCCAGGTCAGAATTGTGAGTTCTTACCCTGTGAGGCCGGTAATCCCTGCGAGAATGGTGGAGTGTGTGTGGAGGAGTTGGATCAGGACCATTTCCCTTTGGGTTTCCGCTGTCACTGTCGCCAGGGATTCACTGGCTCCCACTGTGAAATCAATGTGGATGAGTGCAGCTCCGGTCCTTGTTTTCACGGCTTCTGCTATGATGGTAAGAAACAAGCTATCTTGCCAATATGCTTAATAACAGGCACTCAAGTTGGAAACAAAGCTCCCGCACACATACAGTGAATACATCAAATTTTGTTTTGCTCACTGAAATGCAGTTTTCAGTCGGGTCTCCTTTGCAGCTAACCAGGGTGTTATGAGTGTGTAGCTGTTCCATCTGATTCAGAAGAGTATCTGCTGGAGTGAGCTTCATTAGTGTCTTAACATAACTGTAAATGGAAATCGATAAAGCATCAGTGTGTTATAGCTGTGTTATAATTTGAATAATTGCTGATAAATGAGTTAATACAATCAAACCTCAAGGCAGAATATCATTTTTATTCCTGTGGGTATCCAAGACAGTTTTACCCCTATGTGTTCCATCTCTAGCATGAGCTATTAAAAACCTCGTCGTTTGAAATAAAACTTACAGAATTAAGGATTCACCAGTTAGTCGATGATTATAACTCATCTATTTCAAAATTTTTTTATTTACTATGAAGGATGAAAAGCGGAACCTGCATAAATTAAAGTGAAATACTTTATTCTCAAAAAACTTGACATTACATGGCACCAGTTGTCCAGGGTCAAATTAGATTTCCCAGTAGCAAAATCTTTGTGCTGTAGTGTTGCCTTTTAGCCTTTGTTGCATTTCTGAATTCCTGCCAGTGTTGCTTCATCTGGTTTCTACTGAAACAACATTGTGATGGCAGTAGATCACTATCTCCAGACCATCTTATCCTTTGCTGCACTAACCTCAGCCAGCTGTCTTGACTAATCTTGAGTGCAGCCAGTTCACTTCAGGTTAGCGAGACAGGCGCCTAGGACCTATTGGCCAGTGCTCAGCAGCAGCCAGCCATTCACCAGAGAGAGCACTGCGTAGCCACAGCAGCTCAGATGAGTAATGCTGCTGCCACCCAGGACCTAAAGCATTTAATGAGAGTAATAGCAGCTACACGCACAAAGACAGAGTGACAGCATAGATTACGTGGTAAATCTTTGGGATAATGAAGAATCCTGGGACCCTGACTGGGGAAGTAATAAATTCACTCCTGTAAGAACTGCAATTACCTCTGTCACTGGCTGCCTGTACACCAGTGTTGTGTTGGAGAAACGGAATGATGCATCCTTCTTTAACGTCATTAATAGTTAAGGAGTGGAAGGAATGCATCATTAAACGTGGAAGATTCTGACTTCTGATGGAAGAAATTGGCACATTTGTAACATCTAAATAAAGTATGGCCCTGAAATGGGCTCTCTCCCTCTGTTGTACTGCTTTTACCCCTTGTTCAATGTGTTGCAAGTGTGTTGAGCGGGTGGAAACAAATGACAAGGCTTTCAGGCTTTCACTGAGGAAAAAGTAGGACAGACGGTAGATGAAGAAAGTAGTAGCAGAGAAGAGGATTGAATGGCCATTGCAGACTGGTTCATTTAAAGGTGGTTAGGGTGTCTAATGCTGTCAGGCCGAAGCACTGGGGGGTGGGTGACGTGTCTTATAGATTTAGCAAAAACAGGTTTGACTGATGGAGCAGAAGACAATTATTTTTATGACCCTATTCATAAAAAAAATAGAATCACAGTGGGTTATGCTTATAATTGGCATATACTTGTGTAGAGATGCAAGACCTGTTGAGAAATTAGTGAATTAATGTGTGATGCAATATGCTGTAACTGTCCTGCTGATCTTTTTTCAGCTGTAGATGGTTTTTACTGTCTTTGCAATCCTGGTTATACTGGGCTGAGATGTGACGAAGGCATTGATGACTGTGTGGACAGTTTATGCAGTACCACTTCAGTTTGCAAGGACCTCCATCTGGTAAGCAGATACATTTTTTTTTGTTTGGCAATATAAGGGAGTTATATTAAAGTCTTTAAAAATTTCAAAATATCCTGTAAATCACTACACTTGATATCTCATTGAAAGGCACCACAGCATTTCATAAATATTGACAAACCTGAATCGCAAAAGGTATTTTAATGACTGTCGTGCAGTTAATGTTTTAAAGTAGCATTGTAATAAAACATAAACAATTGTGCAATAGCATGAAGAGTGGTGTGTTATTAAAAAGAATATGGTTACATGGCTCTCGGGCCTGCTACAGGTAAACTTAGATATCTGCCAGAGTTTATTGGTCTTATTGAGAAATGTGTTCAGCATGGAAAGATAAAACTGTTTCAGGTGTCAGAGTGAAGAAGGAATAGAAAATGTACAATAGCATCTAATAATTGCACCTCATTATTGAAAATTCTTATTGACAAATTATGCCAATTATGTTTTGTGGGCAACATGTTTAATGTGCCAAGATGGCCAGGGCTTATTAAAGTATACTTGGGGGAAAAAGCTGAGGTTTACAATGGGCATGTTAATTATGAAATGCATGCTCATTGTAGCGGCTATCTTTTCAGCACAATGTCTTCTTCAAAACAACATATATTAGGCCCTTTGGCTCAGTAATTACATGTAAATGTCTTTAAAAAGGTCTTTAGACTTAAAGGTATAGTTGGCGATCCTGGAAAGCCAGCAAAAGGAAGCTCGATTTTGAAAGGACACAACCGAAGAAATCCTGCCTTTTCATTCTGATATCTCTCCAAAGCCACCTCTCCAAAACACAACACACAGTGCAATGCGCACTGCCTGACAGTTTACAGATTTCAGGAAAATAACAAATGCCCCCCAAACATAAACAAAAGCAATAATTTCCTGTCCAGCATAAATATGGCCACCATGGTATCCATATCCAGCATCCAACCTATTTTTTAGTTGTACAGTAATTTTCACTAATACGGTCTCTGTTTGTGACCAGAAGCTGCTGTGGTGCCCTTCTCTGCCATTATTCGTTAGCTTTAGCTATCAAAACAGAGTCGTAACATGTCTGCCTGCAACTGCAATGCCTTGTGGGAGACTCTTGGCTCTCGCATTGAGTGCATGGACAGAGCATGCACAAGTAGGAAGTTAAGTTGACAGGCAGGTAGGCCATTCAATGGTTTTGCTTGGAGTAAAATTACTGGCCTGGCTTCTTTCAGCCCTGCTTCAGCCACAGATGATGGATTTTTGTCTTTATGCTGTCAGTGCATTTAATGTATTCATTGCCATCGGGATGAAAAGAAAATTTCAAGAAATGTAATAAAAAATGCTTCTGGAAGGAATCACCGACCCTACCTTTAACATACACATCACAGAACACATGCTGTAGTTAATACTTAACATTTGTATTATTCTGACATTTTACAGTGTACAGAGCCCTCTCTAAATCAGTACTGTATATTCTCCATTGCTGGTACCAATGTATGCCTATCCTACAAAACATGGGTGCACACCAAGAAGTGTATTTCTGAAAAATACACTACATTTGCAGTACATTAGCTTAGCTACAGCTATAGAGGCTGTGGCTAAAGTAGCAGAGTTTGGATATTGCACAATGGTAGGATAGTTGGGCTAAACAAGACGGGCTGAATGGCTTCTTCTCACTACATGTTATTCCAACTGTGCTGGTCCTTTTACATTGCTGTCTGATCATACAGATCCACATACTTGGGTTTAAATGAACATTTTCAGACTCTCTCTTTGCAAGGTGCAGCTCCACTTAGTTATTCAAGTGTTATTTAAGCAATTGACACTGGTGTGTTGCAGCTGCATAAAGGCCCTGAGAGCCGGATGCTGCTCTATAACTGTGCCATGAGTACAAGGGACGTTTTTCCAACAGCTGCTTATTTGCTACTAGATTGCAGTAGTGAAGCAGATATGTCGTAGATGAAGCCTTTGTTTGTTTTTTTGTTTCTTCTTTTTTTTTCTGAGTCTATAGCCACATGGTGAGGAGAAAAAATAAAAAACTCAAGTATTTCAGAACATTCACTTTGAAGTCTTTATTGTGTAACAACAAAATATTTTTGCCACAAGCGCAAAATTTCAGCAACCCTTCTGGCAAAAATGATTAAAGCCAAATTGTGGATGAAGTCAACATGCTGTATTGTCACCTTTCCTCTTTCTCACTGAATAAAAACATGCACTGTACCTGAATAGGCTCTTATATAAGCACAAACTAACTGCATTAATTGCTTTCAAGAAAGTGTAGAAACTCGGGATAACTTTTCCTCTTTGTATAATCGCATGATTTACAAGGGATTTTTTTTAACAATGTTTCCGAATGGTTCCAGCACAGATCCTTGGTTAAAACATTTCAGTGTAATTTTCTAGGATAAATGTAATAATCCACAGACAAAAGGACACTGCATTAAAAGGTAATGCCTGTGATATGAGGGGTGTAATAAAATTTCAACCAGTATTTTTTTCTAGTAACACTGTTCTTTGTTTCACTTTTCAACCCATTATTCAAATAGTAGCAGTTTTTGGAAACCCCTTCACACATTCGTGTTTACAGCGCACCTATTCCTTTCTCGGAACACTGTGTCCCACAGAGCTTTAGCTTATTTTGGCGAATTGCGGTCCCTGAAGGTGACTTAGCAGCAAAAATGAGATTATATTCTATTGCCAGGGGTAAGGAATCGGAGTCTCTGGAAGGTATCTAATTTATCATGAGATGACGCCCCCCTCCCCACCATCGGCACCATCATAGGCCCCACAGTGTACAAATTATATCAGACATAGTTTAACGGCTCCCCTCCAGTGTATGAGATACAAATTAGCATGCATTCAACCAGAAGCAACCAGAACCTTTAGACCTGATGTTGGCAGTGAGGAATCCTGAATCATCCTTGGCCATATGACTACTTTTATCCTTTATGCAAAGAGTTATTTAAATTAAACCAGAACCTTGTAAGGTAATGGACAATAAACCATTCATCTCCCATGCTGTGATTAATTATCATAATGCACATTGCTATGCTGAAGTGGTCCACATACTACTTTCAATGGAGGAAAGAAAAAATGAAAAGGTTGGGAGCTACAGTATATATAAATCAGTTTCTCAGTCTACAGTAGAAGCAACATATTGATTTGCTATAAAGAGAAATCCTGATAAATCAATCAAAATATACATATTTTACGTGTTTGCTTATCTAGGAAAATTCCTTTTCACACCTAATGTGCAACATATAGAGAATGTGCAGCCTATACAATGTGTAACGGAAATATTGTATGCCCGATGACGATGGCTAGTACCATATACCTTTTGGAGAAACAAAACAGGCTTGCATATTATCTGGTGGTAGGAGGAATATATCTGCATCGTACCAATGTGAAAATTTAGACGAGCATGAGTGTTCCATAGTATAAACAAATTTTCACAGGAAACATCTTTGTGTGAGTGGGAGGTTTTATTCTGCAGTATTTTTAAGAAAACTGGGATGGATTTAAAAAAGTGTATTAAGTATTGCTGCATTTGTTTTCTGAAATGTAACACTTATAGATAACTAAACAATTACGTGGCAACTTAGCAGCTTCCATATGTATATGCATTAGTTTTTTATATTTTATTGGTGGTGTTTTGCCATCATAAGCATTAAACATAACTACCTTAAGTGATTACACTAATACAAGGGCAGATCGAAGGTGTCACTATATTTCATTGTTGATCTAATAGTGTTTCCCTTTCTTGTATTGCAGGGCTATGAGTGTGTGTGTCACTCTGGCTGGGAGGGGGAGTACTGCCAACAAGAAATTGATGAATGTTTATCACAACCCTGCAAAAATAACGCCACCTGTACAGATCTTCTCAAAGGCTACAAGTAGGTGTGCGAGCTGGCTCGAGGACGCTATCCTCACGAGGTGAATCAGTCGCTTAATAAATGCAGAAAAAGAAGCCGTTCAGAGATAGCAATATGTCCTTCCACTGGCAGCGGAGATAATGAATTGCAGATGGCAGGTAAAACAAATGAGTCAATCAATGGCTCACAGCATGAAAAGGTTTCAGGGGATCTGTGACTCGTTGGAGGAAAAAGCTGGTGTATCTGCTTCAATTAATACACCCCCACAACCACCCCCATCCTGCCAGGGAAGCTGCTTCAGGTGGAAAAGTTGGGGACAGAAAGGAATGCAGGGTGGAGCAGTTGGTAGTGCTCGGCTACTCACTGCCACCAAGTGGAATAATCACCCGTTTTATGAGAACATACTTTAGACCATCACACATTCTGCTTCACTTTGTGTTTCTCTGTTTCTGTATCCATCTGTCTGTGCATACATTTCCCATTTAATCCCCACTCAGTGCCCTAACCTCCTGTGTCATACATTCAGTTGTCCAGAATAAAAGCTGCTTTGACTAGTTAACCTATACACTTCCTGTGCGGTGTCACACAAAGATGTAAGCATGTAGTGTTACATGTAGTGTAACACCATGCACAGTACTTGTATGTGTCCTATGGATAATTTGAATTAGAAAAAGGTTTAAAACAACCCCGCTGTTGCTGCTGGATACATTTTTAGCACCATAAACTATTAAATAAGTTGCATATGTTTATTTATTTAGAGTTCTAATTCTGCCCCAGTGACCTCTCCAGTACATTTCTCCTTTCTCTTGTATCCAAGGTGCTTGTGCTCACCAGGCTGGACAGGTGTGGACTGTGCAGAGGATGTGAATGAGTGTGACTCTGGACCCTGTCTAAATGGAGCTCAGTGTCAGGAGTCAGATGTACCTGGGGAGTTCTCCTGCACCTGTCCCCCTTTTTTCAGTGGCCCGTTTTGCAACCATCCTTATGACCCCTGTGACCCCCTCCACAATCCCTGCCTGCATAACTCCACCTGCCTGACACGCTCCAATGGAACAGCCTTGTGCAGATGCCCAGCTGGTGAGTGAACGCACTGCCACAGCCTCATACTAATTCCTTAGCCCACTTTTCAAGTGTAACTACACCATTTATTTCAGTGGGTTAGTGTACTAGACAGTCTGGCAGCTTAAGTGAGTTGAAAATTACAAAAACAATCACTCAGAAGTACAGCGTTTACATCAGAGATGGAGCGGGCTCACAGAGTCGGGAAACCTTCGGATCGTGGTCCGAGGGTGGTGATGGTAAAGTTGATGAAAGAGAAAGATAAGGCATACATATTGCAACAAGCAAAGAAGCTGAAAGGATCTAATATTTATATAAATGAAGATTACACCGAGTCTGTGAGGAAGAGAAGAAGGGAGTTGATGCTGAAGTTAAGGGAGGCCAGGGAGAGGGGAGACATCGCGTTCCTGAGGTATGATCGACTAGTGACAAGACCTCGGAACCAGGAGCCAGGACCCAGGACCAGCTCGCCCAGGATGCCAGGACAGAGAGATGAAGAGGTCGCTGGACCCTCACGT